TTATAGCTAATAAACTGAGAAACAGCCACTCTCAGAAACTATTGATGTAATTAAAAATCAGACTAACCCTTCTGGAGGTCACTTTGGAAAAGTATCAGTATTTTAAGGGTCGATACTCAAATTCAGCAATTCTACTTCTAAGTAATTATTCTAAGAAAGTTATCAGAAACAGCATATAAAGATAGATGTGCAATGACGATCAAAAGAGAACTGTATAAATAACAAAAGTTTTCAATAGAAATGTCCACCATGTGGCAACATTTAAATCAACTATTGTTAAGTGCCGTCGTCAGTTCCAACTCATGGCGACCCTGCATAGGGTTTCCAAGGAACAGCTGGTAGGTTTCAGTCACCAACCTTGTGGTTAACTGTCCAGTGTTTAATCCTACAGTGCCACACAAGGACTCCCAATAAACTATACAATCATTAAAAAATAAAGTAGGTAGGCCTTTATGTAGACACAGAAAGATGTCTATAATATATTATTGTATCGGTTTCAAAACAGTATTTATAGCATGATGCTAATTCTAAAGGCATTTAAAAGGGGGATTCAAAAAGCTTATGGTAAAATGGAATTAAAGATAATCGAAAAAATAGGATGAAAAGACCAAAACAAAAAGACAATCAAATTTTCCATACTTTTTGAAGTATATATACAGGAGTGCAGTTGACTCCATAGAATAAGTACTGGGCTGTGAACCACAAAGTCAGCAGTTCAAGCCCATCAGCCACTCCATGGGAGAAAGATGAGGCTTTCTGTTCCCTCAAAATACATAAAAGTCTCAGAAACCCTATATACAAGGTCACTATGAGCCTAAACCAACTTCACGGCACTTAACAACAACATCATATTTATACATATAAGTGTATATGTCTATACATGCATAAAAAATGTCTAAAGACTAGAGTAGGTATAACCCAAACTACTCAGAGTGCTTTATCTCTGAAGGATGGAATTATGAGCGATAGTTCACGTTCTGATGCCAAGGCTCAGGAAAGCTAATGAAATTTCTTAGAGTCCACGTTCTTTCTACTATACCATGTAGACTCAGCCCCAAACGATATGTCATTAAGTTGGTACTAACTCATTACAACCCCATGTGTGTCAGAGCAGAAGTGTATTATTCCACGGGGTTTTCAGTGGCTGATTGTTCAGAAGTAGATCACGAGGCCTTTTTTCCCAGGTGCCTCTGGCTAGACTCAGACCTCCAACTTTCCAGTTAGCAGCTGAGCATGCTAACAGTTTGCATCATCCAGGGACTGCAATATCATGTTAAGTCTTGAAAATTAAGCAAAAGTACTCTATGATGGAAAAGTGTTACTTAGAAAATAATTATATAATCAGTGAAGTCAATTGAGACAAGTGAACTTACTCTTGGGAGCCAATTTTTTACCATAGTTAAACAAAACCTCTCCTTCAGAGATGGGTCTATCTACAGTTTCCGTGTCCGTGACAGTAGCACTCAAGGTGCTCTCCAGTGTGGACGACTCTGAACTTGGCATCGGTATGGAAGAAGGGGCCTTGGCACCGTCGGGAAAGGGCATCAAGAGAATAGGCTCTAGAGGACCAGGAGGAGCAGGAAAATGTACACTCTCAGGTTCTTCATCCTTCTCCACAGACATCACACTAAGAACATAGAGATACAGTTTGAACTTATTTAGTCACTAGAAGACTATATTCACACTGACATAAAAAAACTAAAGGTACTAAAGGCACATTTAGCAGAGTATTTCTATAATTTACACAACCATAATGAACAAAAGAGTCTTATTTTTATAAACTGTTTTCATGCTTTAATCATAAACCATCTTAGAAGAAGCTCTTTCATTCATAAAATAAATCCACATGGGAATATATGGTAATATAAAAGTTTAGCAGTCAAAATAAATGAAGATCCATACTAGGAAGAAGTTGTTTTACTAACAATATGGTATACAGCTTTATCTTAATCTGCTTCAAACTTTTAAAAAAAACAGGTAAATATATTTACTTAGAAATAAATTTGGTAAACATTTTCGAAAATAAAACTAATAAACTTCTTCCCTCTAAAGTAGTTCCTGGTTTTTAAAACTTCATTTATCATATCTGATGCTTCCTGATGGGTCACATAATTCAGGCTTATGATGGAACATACAGCTACTAAAAGTAAGTATGTGATTGCTTACATAGCTCTTGGGTGAGCAGGTTCTTCGTTAAGGGAGTTAGGATTCTCTTCCTCCAGAGGCAGGTCTCCGTCACCCCATGGCTTCGGAAGCTCTGGGCTTGAGATTTTCAATTTATCAATGGAAAGCTCTGACGAAGTTGGGGTAAGAGGTGCAGCCAGAGGAGGCGTAGTAGCAGGAGTAACTGTAGGTGTATTAACAAGGGCAGCGGGAGGCATGGCACTTCCTAAAGATTAAACCAAAGGAAAAAGTCAGTAAGTAACACCATTCAGATCAGCAAATCCACTGCCTTTGAGTTGATTCTGACTCATAGCAACCCTGCAGGACAGACTAGAACTGACCACTAGAAGGGTTCTAAGTCTGTAGTCTTTAAGGAAGCAGACTGCCACATCTTTTTCCCAGAGAACAGCTGGTGGATTCAAACTGCTGACCTTTTGCTTAGCAATCCAGTGCTTTAACCACTGCACCATGAAAGCACCTAAAACTCCATTGCTGCGGAATTGATTCCAACTCATGGGGACTCTATAGCATACTGCCACATCTTTCTCCTGTGGGTTCGAACTGTCAACTCTTCGGTCAGCAGTCAAACACTTAACCACTGCAGCACCAGGACTCAAAAAATTCCACTGTTGTTGTTAAGTGCCACTAAGTCAGTTCCTCCTGCTCAACAAATCTGCATAGGGTTTCCAAGAGCAGCTGATGGGTTTGAACCGCCATCCTTGTAGTTAGCAGTCCAGTGCTTATCCAACAGCTCCGCACTAGAACTCTACTGTTGTTGTTAAGTGCCACTGGTTGGTTGGTTATGTGCTGTGGAGTCAGTTTCAACTCATAGCAACCCTGAATAGGGTTTCTGGGAAGCAGCTGGTGGGTCTGAACCACTGAGCTTGTGGTCCAGTGTTTATCCTACAGCACCACACTGGGACTCCCAGGACTCCATTGTTGTTGTTGCTGTTAAGTGCTGTCGAGTCGGTGCCAACCCACAGTGACCCTACATAGGATTTCCAAGGAGCAGCTGGTGAGATCGAGCCACCAATCATGCGGTTCACGCTGACTTTGCAGTTGAGTACTTACCCTACAGTGCCACTCCAGGACACCATAGGACGGCAAAATGTTGTTTCAGAAATCCTTTAACATTTTGCCATGCAAATAATGGCAATAATATTATAATATCCATTAATTAGGAATTTTTAAAAATTTAGTGAAGTATCAGAAAACCTTGAAAAGACTTAACACATTTAACAGCACCACACATTTAAATTCATCTGTGTCTATTAACTTCATTTTACTTGGATCTAGATCAACATTCATGGAAGCAGCAACAGAGAAGTCAAAAGATGTATTGTACTGGGCAAATCTGGCACAAAAGACTTCCTCAGAGTTTTAAAGGATAAAGACATCAGTTTGAAGACTAATGTCCCTTTGACTAATACCCTTAGTATTTTCAGTCATCTCATAGACATACGAAAGCTGGACAATGAGTAAGGAAGACTAGAGAAAAACTGAAGCATCTGAGTTACGGTGTTGGAGATGAATACTGACTATACCATGGGCTGTGAGAAGAAGGAACAAATCTGTTTCGGAAGAAGTATACCACGATTACTCCACAGAAGTGATGTGGGCTGCCCTCGGATGAGCTACAGCCCTGGGTGAGCTATGGCCTTGGGTGAATTACGTACGGCCTGGGTGAGCTACAACCCAGGTGAACTACCACAGCTCTGGGTGAGCTATCGCTCCAGGTGAACTACAACTCAGGCGAGATATGGTCCCAGGTGAGTCCAGGTGAACCTCGGAGAAGCCCAGATGCCCAAACAAAAGAAGAATTATGGAAGCACACGCAAAAAACTTCATACCTCAAGATAGAGAGTAGATCCCAGTGAAGAGTTTTGGATGGGAGGTGGGAAGGGGGTATGCCGCAGTTACTTTGACACTGTGAATTATGTTCAATCAAACAAAAGAAACAGTCTGTGATGGTTATAGGAGATGGGGAGGGATTATTTATGGGCTAGAGGGCAGACACATGTTGATAGGGGTGATGATGCAGACAGTATACAACAAGAGGAAAGTTGGTAGAGAGGGGATGAGGGTGACAGGAGACACCGGGAGGAATGTTAACAGTTAGGTGAATAGAGGTCAGTGCTGCTATTAACTGTTGGTACATGGAGGGTACTGCAAACATGTCATGAAACAAAGTATATTATTTGTTGAATATAAAACTGATGATCTGTTTTGTAAACCTTCACTCAATTCACAATAGAAAGTTAAAAAAAAAAAAGAAAAAAGAGAAGTGATGAAGGCAAGGCTTCATCTCTTGCACTTGGAGGGAAGAGTCCTTGGAAAAGGACATGATGCTTGGTAAAGTGGAGGGTCAGTGAAAAAGATGACCTTCAACTCATGAGATAGACTAACAGAGTGACTGCAGCAACTGGCTCAAACATGGTAACTGTTAGGATGACACAGAACCAGACTGTGTTTTGTTCTGTTGTACATAGTACTGCTATGAATCACAACTGACTCGATGGCACCAAACAACAAGAGTCTATTAGATACTTTAAAAGGAGCACTTAATTCCTTACTTTCTTGGGAAAAAGATTTACCAAAAACTATCTTTAGTAAACAATCATATGTACAAGTCAGTCAAAAAGTATTGCTATAAAATAATAGAAATTGCTATTACACAAAAATAACAAAATATAGAAGCTATTGTTTCTCAACATACGATCATCTAGTTCTAAACAATTCTGAAGTACTGTTTCCATCTCTCTAACCCTTCCTCAAAAAATTCTGCGTTCTATGATTTACAACAGATCCAAAATAGTAGTTTGAAGGACTCAAACTGTGTTCCTTTTAAACGATCTTTGAGTTTGGGGAATAAAAAGAACTCTGAAGGGACCAAGACCAGGGCTGTAAAGCAGATGGGATAAAGTTTCCCAATGGAATTCTCCTAGCACAGCCCTGGCTACACTAAAAACATGAGCACCTGCGCTGGTGTGATGGGAAAAATTCCTCCACACAACTTGCCTTCAGTTTTCACTTTTATAAAACGTTGTTCCTAACAGGTCGTCATGATTGTCTCATGTCTTTAAAGAAAATCTGTCCTGACTACCCCTTTGGGATCCAGGAAAACAGTCGCCATAATCTTCTTAGCTGACCTGGCCCAGCAGGTCCCCTAGCAAGCCACTGTTCTGGTTGGATCTTTTCTTATGAAGACATCCTACCTAACAAGACTAAGACAAGAGAATTACTGAGAGAACTTGTCTGCAGTCATCCACTGAACACTGGAACATGCTTAAACATGTTTTGTTTGGAATAAACCCATGCACTTATGAACTGGAACTGTAGTAACTTTTTTTACTTACCTTCACATATTACTCTATAAAACATAGAACAAATCATGAAGTTTTACTTATTCGTAGCTAAAATTAAACTCATTCTGACTCAACAGCAATAGTTTTGAGTTTGTTTGGTTTGTTTGAAGTTAGAATTGAGTTACAGAGATGAGGTTTTACCTTTCTCAGGAAGTAGTTCTTTCATAGGAAAAGCTTCTTCGTGGTAAGAATCACAGGGAGAGGAGTCTGGAGTTCTCACCAGCACACGCTCTTTAAGAGGTGATGAAGGTGAGCGAGGAGGAGTAGGCTGTGGGGTAGCCACAGGGGTACATACTCTTGCCTGAAGTACATTAATGAAACAAGAAAAAGTGTGCTTATAATCACCCAAATAATTTGAAGCAATAAAATTCTTAGACTAGAATTTAACTGTATGAGTAAAACCAAATGGAACCCTTAGTGATATGGCTCTGAAAGACTATTAGTCTCAAGATTGGCTGCCAGAAACCCTTTGTTGAGTGCCACTGAGTCAATCTGGACTTAGCAACCCTTTACAGGGTTTCCAAGGAGAGGCTGGTGGGTGTGAACCATTGACCAAGCGGTTAGCAGCTCGGCACTTATCCTACTGTGCCACCCCATCCTTAGGCCATTGAATTAGACCTACCTCTGAAGTGGTGGTGGTAGTGGTTATGTGCCGGGGAGTCAGTTACAACTCATAACACCCCTATGCAGGGTTTCCAAGGCTATAAATCTTTATGGAAGCAGAAAGCCTAATCTTTCTCCTGTAGAACCGCTGGTAGTTTTGAACCGCTGACCATGAAGTCAGCAGCCTAACTAGTAACCACTATCTATCAAAGCTCCTTAGGTCCCTTCAAAATCTAAGACACATCCCTGTAATAAAGAAAGAAAGATTCAATCGGTACAGTTGAGGATCAGATTTAAAATTCAAGCTGTGTGGATGGGCCACGTAACAGAAAGGAAGCATTTTAACTGACAAGATCTCAAAAATCAGCTTTTTTGGTGCAAAAGAACAGGACATGCAAAATGTAAGAGAAAGATAAGAAAAATAGTGGCAAAGACAATAATGGAGATGGCAAGTACTGGAGAAAGAAACGTAAACTTTTTTAAAATTAATTTGAAAAGGTAATCATTCGAACAGTTCGAAACTCAAAAGGTATAAAAGAATGATAGTGATGACAACAAGAAAAAATAAAGTTATTTTTTTAAAAAAGGAAATGACTATATTGTTCAATTGGCAAAGTATAGTGTTAACATACTTTGAGTGTTGTTTTTGGGTATGATAACTTCATTTTGGTTATATAAGACACTAGACTTTTCTTAAAAGATACTGCTACTGCAGTTTGAGGTGAAATGTAATGTCTGAAACATTTAAATGGTCCAGCAATTAAAAAAAAAAAAAAAGCTATTTAATATATCTAGCTGCTCTTTGGAAACTCTATACAAAGTTGCTGAGTTGGAACCAACTCAACAGCACTTAACAACAACAACATATTACAGGAGCACAGTGGTTCCAGATGATAAGCACTGGACTGGGAATCACAAAGTTGGTGGTTCAATCTCACCAGCTGCTCCATAGAAGACAGAGGAGGCTTTCTGCTTCTACAAAGAATTAAAGCTTCAGAAACTCTATACAAGGTTGCTATGAGTCAGAATCAACTCCATGGAAGTTAACAACAAATAACAACAATATAATATATAATGGTTGTGGTTATGTACTGTGGAGTTGGTTCTGACTTACAGCGACCCTGAATAGGGTTTCTGAGGAAAAGTTGGTAGTTTGGAACTGCTGACTTTGAAGTTAGCATCCCAACTCATAATCACTATGCTACTAGAACTCCTTATGATATATAATAGATATACAAATACCAAAAAGAAATCCATTGCTGTTGGCCCATTTGGACTTATCTTGGCCCTACAGGGTGGAGTAGAACTGTAGAATTGCTCCACAGAGTTTCCAATCTTTATGGAAACAGACTGACACATCTTTCTCCCATGAGAGCTGCTAAGTTCAAACTGCAGAAAGATGAGGCTTTCTGCTGCCTCGAAGATTTAGAGCTTCAAAAACCCTGTAGAGTGCTGCTATGAGTTGGAACTGACTCCATGGCACTTAACAACACACAACAATATAACATACGTAGATATACAAGAGATGTCGTAGTGTGGTGCTGCAGGATAATGCACTGAGCCACAAGGTAGGTTTGGACCACAAGGTCAGTGGTTCAAACTCACTAGCCACTGCCTAGAAACCCTATACAAGGTTGCTATGTGTCAGAACTGATTCGATGACACTTACCGATAACAAGACACACAAAAACCAAAACCAAGTCCACTGCCATTGAGCTGATTTGGACTCATCGTGGCCCTACAGGATGGGGTAGAAGTGTACAACTGCCCCACAGGGTTCCCAATCTTTATGGAAGAAGACTGACACATCTTCTTCCATGAGGAGGCCGACTCAAACCACCACCCTCTTAGTTAGCAGCTGAATGCTTTAACAACTGTGCCACCAGAAAACTTTATGGAGTCCTGGTGTGGTGCTGCAGGATAAGCACTCAACCATAAACTCAGTTTGAACTGCAAGGTCAAACTGGTGTTTCAAACTCACCAGCTGCTCCTCGGAAACCCTATACAGGTTTGCTATGAGTTGGAATCGACTTGACGGCACTTAATATCAGCAACAATACATTAGAAAGTTTTCAAAATATAGTGCTTAGAAAAAAATGTTGCTTTAATCACAGCAATGAGGAATCAAATTTCATCATGAGCCATGATCTTAGTTTAAAACATACCCATTTTACTGTTCTTTAATTCATTGATCAAAACAATCCCCCAAAACTCTCAAAGTGTGAGATGACAGTAACTCCTACCGGCAAGTATGTGTTGCTGGCTGAAACGTCCCCAGGAACACTTGCAGCAGTGAGACCTTGCTTCTTAGTGTCTCTGTCACCCAGCATGATAGCAATGGTCTCTTCAAGAGCTTCACTGACAAAATGCGCAATCATGTCTGAATTCACAGGAACCCCTGCATCAACAAAGAGCTGGAGGGCACCGCCACTTGCTCCTTCCACTAGAAATGGAAAGGATTTCAGTTTAAGTGTGCAAGAAATATTCTTATACTCTGAAAATTTGAGATACCAATATAAGAGGGCGACCAAAAATGAAATAGATACATATCTACTTATTATAAAAGATTAAAATGATACTTACATACTGAACATCCTCTCTAAACAAACCAAAGAAGGGAGGAAAACATATAGATAAAAATTTGCACTTAGATGGTCTCTTTCCTGTCACTCTAGAATGTAGTGATATAAAAAGCTTTGCATCAAATTAAATGTCCTCATCTGAAAACAACACACATTTCCCAGGAGTAGGACAACAGGACACACTGTGATATTTCTTGGTTAAAAACACAATGATTAGTGCTTTTTGCTGAATCCTACATCTGGCTTGTCATCATCTGAACTCCACATCTTTGGACTTAAGCCAGCAGCCTGCCATACTGCCTGCCTATCCTAGGAGTCGTTAGCCTGCCAGCAGCATGTCAGCTGACATGCTGGTCTTGGTTTGTCAGCCCCTGCAGCTATCTGAGTTAGGAGAAGCCTCTGGCCTGACCTCTGACCCATGAACTTTGAATTGCCAGTTTCTACAACCAAGTGAGCCATTTTCTTGATATAAAGAGAAAGAAAAAGAGAGAGAGTGAGTATCCTGGTATGGCGCTGTAGAATAAGCACTGGGTCAAAAGGTCACTTTGAACCTCAAGATTAGCAGTTCAAACCTACCTCCTCAGAAACCCTATACAGGGTGGTTATGAGTAAGAAATGCAATCAATTCACTAAAACACTGTGTTGTTGAATAAAAATTCAGTTGGCTTTGTAAACTTCTAAATCTCAATAAAAAGTTATAACAAATTTAAAAAACTAACTATGGGAGGACTTTTAAAGAAACAGCAGTAATTTTATGAATATGAAAGCACACCTTCGTTCTAGTTTCAGATCCATCAGTTATTAAAATTACAAGTTAACTCTTCTTAAACCTCTATAGCAATTTAGATAATTGTTATCAATTTCTGTTGTTGTTAGGTGCCATTGAGTCAGCTCCGATTCATAGTGACCTTACGCACAGTAGAATAAAACACTGCCCAGATCTGTGCCTACCTCATAATCATTGTTACGCTTGAGCTAGTTGCTGCTGCCACTATGCCAATCCATCTCATTGGGGGGTCTTCCTCTTTTTCTCACACCGTCCACTTCACCAAGCATAATGTTCTTCTCCAGGAACAGGTCCCTTCTGATAATATGTCCGAAGTATGGGAGATGAAGTGTGGCCATCCATGCTTCTAAGGACAATTCTGACTGTACTTCTTCTCTAAAACAGATTTATTTGTTCTTCTGACAGTTTGTGATACTTTCAATATTCATCTCCAGCACCCTAACTCAAATGCATCAATTCTCTTACAGTCTTCCTTACTCATTGTCCAACTTTTACACGCATATGAGCCACCTGAAAATACCATGGTTTGGTCAGGAACACCTTAGTTCTGAAATGGATATCTTTGCTATTGAACATTTTGAAGAGGTCTTATGCCACAGATTTAGCCAATGCAATACGTCGTTTGATTTCTTAACTGCTGCTTCCATGAGTGATGATGGTAGATCCAAGCAAAATAAAGTCTTTGACAACTTCAATCTTTTCTCCATTCATCATAATGTTATTTATTAGTCCAGATGCAATGATATTTTGTTTTCTTTACATTGAGGTCTGATCCATACTTATAAGGCTATAGTCTTTGATCCTCATCACTAAGTATTTTAAATCCGCTTCGCTTTCAGCAAGCAAGGTTGGCTGTATCAGCGGCATATTGCAGGTTGTTAATGAGCCTTCCTCCAATTCTGATGCCACGTTCTTCTTCATATAGCCCAGCATCTTGGGTTACTTACTCAGCATACAAACTGAATAAATACTGTGAAAGGATACAGCCTTGGTGCACACTTTTTTAAACCATTCAGTATTCTCTTGTTCTGCTCGAATGACTGCCTCTTGGTCTACATACAGATTCCTTGGGAGCACAAATAAGTGTTCTGGAATACCTATTGTTTTCAACGTTACCCACATCTTGTCATGACCCACACAGTTAAATGGCCAATACCAGTCCATTTTAGCTCACTAATGCCTAGGATGATATTGATCTCTATTCTTTTTACTTTTGACAACTTCCAATTTTTCTAGACTCATACTTTGTACATTCCATGTTCCTATTATTAATGAATGTGTGTAGCTGTTTCTCCCATTTTCAGTTATGTCCCATTAGCAAATGAACTTCCCAAAAGCTTTACTTCATTCGTGCCATCGCAGTCAACTCTACTTTAAGCAGGCAGCTCTGGTACTATTCATAATGCTGTCATCTTCCAGCGCTATATTTGACAGTGTTCTGCTGCTGGTCATATGGATTTCAAGTGGCTAAACATTCAGAAGTTGTCCGCGTCTCCTTCTTAGTCTGGAAGCGTCACTGAAACCTGTCCACTATGGGTGACCCTGCTGGTATTTAAAACACCGGTGACATAGCTTCCAGCATCCAACAACTCTCAAGCCACCACAGTACAAGAAACTGAAAAACGAGTGGTGGAAAGTTCTATGTTGTTATTGTTGTTGCTGTGTGCCATGGAGTCAGTTCTGACTCACAGCAACCCTGTATACAATTTCCAAGGAGTGGCTGGTGAGTTTGAACCACCGATCATCAGGTTCAAATTAACTTTGCAGTCCAGCACATTAACCCACAATACCACACCAGGACTCCGGAAAGTTCTATTGTTGTTGTTATTGTTAAGTACTGTTAAGTAGGTTCCAACCCATAGTGACCCAGTACAGGGTTTCCAAGGAGCAACTGGTGAGTCTGAACTGCCAACCTTTCAAACAGACTTTCCAGTCCAGTGTGTTAACTCATAGCGACACACCACGACTTCAGAAAGTTCTATAGGTATATTAAGTTTCCAAATGGGATGCACTTTTTTCAATTATATGAATGGACTTAAAACTCAGTATAACGTCCTTAAGTGATATGACTGGACCCAAAATGGCAAATATTTCTACAACTCTGTGAGAAATAATTGAGAATGATCTAAACAATCTGAGGGAAATGCACCCTATCCAAAAAGTTCTCCTTAAGTAGGAGATCTGGCAGCCAAATTTAGAATTGCTTTTAAAGTGAGTACAGGTGTCCTGGAATAACTTATTGAGGAAGAAGTTACAGCAATTTACTTTGCAGCTATCACAGCAAAGACTCTCACTACCCCCTTTCCTCTGTAATTTCTATATTCATTGTTTGGGCATGACCAAAAATCAAGACATCTCTGTGATAAAAAGTCCAAAAGCCCTACCCAAATATAAGCAAAAAAGGGAAAACTTATATACTTTGGAAAATAATTCAACAGATTCTTATCAAAATAAACATAATTACTAAGAATCAAGAGAAATTTACAGTTGTATCCACATAAAAATTTGTTTTTAAAAGTGTTGTTCATAATGCCCCAAATCTAGAAAGAATGCAAATATTTATCAACTAGTAAATGGATAACAAATTATGGCACAGCCATACAATGTAATATGATCACATGCAGCACCATTATGGAATATCAAAAGTATTATGCTAAATATAAGAAGTCAAACACAAGTCTACAAACTGTATGAGTCCATCTATATAAAATTATATATACTTAATCCTAAGTAATTCATTAGTGTAATGAGTGAGGCAGATATGTAAACCAACAACACTATAATCTGATAATTATAGCAAAAGACTGCGAACCACAAGATCGGCAGTTCAAATCCACCAGCTGCTCCTCGGAAACCCTATATATAGGGTCACTATGAGTTGTAACCAACTTGATGGTCCTTAACAACAACCTAACAATTTTTTCCTGAATAATATAAATCTGTATCTATATATGTATCTACCTATCTGGTGGTGGTGTAGTGCCGTGGAGTCAGTTCCGACTCATAGCAACCCTGCACAGGGTTTCCGAGGCTGTAAATCTTTATGGGAGCAGAAAGTCTCATCTATCTCCCATGGACCTGCTGATAGTTTTGAACGGCTGACTTTGAGGTTAGCAGCACAATTCATAACCACTACACTACCAGAGCTCCTTTTATACTATCTAAATATCTCTCTATATATTTATATAGTGCTTTGGGAAATGACACAGAGAAAGAATGGAGGGTGGAAGAATAATCTGAAAGATGCAGTATGAAATAAAAAGGCAAGGGAGAACCTCCAACAGAAAGAAGTATTAGGATGTGATAACTGAAGGTAAGAGCTTATCTTTTGTTATCCCAGGACATACTTGACCTCTAAAATATATAAATCGACAAGGTTTTTCATAACAGAAAAAGTTAAAAGATTCCATATTTCACTTACCAGTGTCAGGGGTCAATGGTTCACTTCCCTCACTGCCAGAAATACTGACATTAGGTGCAACCTGTTGCTGGATTGGGAAGCGCCCAGAGATAATTCTTGACATTATTTCTTGTTCTACCCTGGGGAATAAAAGTTAAGAAATCCCAAATTTGATTGAAATGTATAAATGTTGAACACAGTACCCCTAAAAGTAACCTTTACCCATGGACATAAACATTTTACATGTGCAAGAAGTCACTCGGAAAGTTGAATCTGGAAAGAAGGAAAAAATAACATGTATCTGCCAGTGAGATAAACTACATGAGACCGACAGCTCATGACATCAAGTTAAAATCTTTCAGATTATCCTAACTAAAACTTTGGCAGTTTTAAAGTTCATACAAGTGGAGTCCTGGTGTGGCACTGGAGGAAAATGCACTGGACTACAAGGTCAGTTTGAACTCCAAGGCTAGTGGTTCAAACCCACCAGATGCTCCTCAGCAACCCTGCACAGGGTCACTATGAGTCAGAACCGACTCAATGGCACTTAACAACAACAACAACCACACACAGATATCTTGGAATAACTTATAACTTCAAAAATAAAGTCTGAGCCCAAGATTTAAGCATGCGCCTAAAATGTTTGATTCCCTATTCTGTGAGTGTACATATAAAAACCATTTAAGAGTCAATAGAAGTCTGGTAGCCTTATTTTCAGAAAATAAGTATATAGGCTATAATATCAGGTAGCTTTTCTTTTAAAAAGGGAAGAAATTTTATTTCCAAGTTCATTTTCAGAACAGGAGATTTCTCCTGTTACATTTCTTTAAAACCAAACCAAAAGCAGACTGCCTCATCTTCCTACCATGAAACAGCTAGTGGGTTTGAATCACTGACCTTTCAGGGAGCAGCTGAACACTTAACCATAGTTTTTGTTGTTTTTTTAAATTATTACAAGTTAGAGTCATTACAAAACAATCAGAAAATACATTTTAAAAAATGTTTAATCCCATGATCTCAAATTGAGGGATAAACATAAATAATAACTTGGTATATAAGCTTTCCAAGTTTTTATCTATGCACACATATTTTTATTTAAGTAGGGGAGAGAGGGTTTGCATAAACTGTGCCACATAGGGACCTTAATATGGGGTTACAGTGTTAGTATAGCCTGCTTTGTTTATATGTTGATCTACTGTATCGCTCAGTATCATTAAATATCTCACCAGTTGCTTCTCGGAAACCCTATACAGGGTCGCTATGGGTCAAAATCAACTCGATAGTACTTAACAACAACAAAATCTAATTTTGATACGTAGCTTTTCATAGGTTAAAAATACAGTGCTCACAAATTAACACATGTAACAACCCTAGAAAAGCCCGTTTTCTGGGACTTAGTGCTGTTGATGTTAAGTGCTATCGAGTCATTTCTACCTCATAATAACCCCATATTAGGTTTCCAAGAAGTGGCTGATGGGTATGAACCGCTGACCTTATAGTTAGCAGTCCAATGCTTATCCTACAGCACCACACCAGGACTTCATGGCACAGTAGTAGAACCATAATTATTTAACTCTAAGTTAAAGAGTAAGCATATTATTCAGTCCTTTGCTACGTAACATTAGTCTCTTCTGCCATAGTACACAGCCTAAGTACAAGCATTCAAGGACAGCAGAAGGACCACCAACGATTAGTTAAGTCCTCAACATCATATCAAATAGATTCCAATAACCATAGCAAAGGAAAAGTTGAATGAATAAAAGACAATGGAAACTTTTCAACTAGAATGTAATGCTTTCAGTCCAGCAGTATTTCCATTTATTTATGCTACTGCAGTTCTGTCCACAGCAACACAACTGTGACCTCACCACTGAATTACGTCATTTTCCAATGTTTCTTTTCTCTCAATTACTTTATCCAGAATATCAGTAGTGGGCTGAAAAGCAGCAGCAACTGGTGGAAATGGAGGACCATTATATTTTGTAGAAACAACTTTAACACTTCTGTTAAACTCCAGCATTGGCTCAGAGCATTCTGGAATTTCATCATAGCTTTCTTCTTCCTAGTAACAACACAAAACAAACCGATCAGTAATAAGAAAAACAAGCCTGTTATTAACAGATTTAATAATAAAAAGAAATCTATTATATTCTTGCATCTGTTTAAATACTTCTTGAGCACTAACTGCAGAAAGAGCACTTAGCCAGGTGAATTAAGCAGCATTTCTAAATGAACAGCCTTCTAATTAGGTGGTAATGTTGTGATTGTTAAGGGCCTTTGAGTCAGTTCCCACTCATAGCGACACTGTGTAGGGTTTCCAAGGAGCCGGTGGTGAGTTAGAACCTTGCAGTTCAAATTGACCTTGCGGTCTAGAGCATTATTCTATACAGATGGTGTGGCACACATTTGTTGTTTATAATATATAGATTCATCGGGCAAATCACACTGAAGAAAAGAAACTTTTAATTACATAATTATTTTGTCTCTTTAGAATACAATATTCATTTTAAAGTCATACAAAAAGCTAGAAAATGTGATTATTCCTATGTAACACATTAACATTTTCCTTGAGAAACTTGTAAACATATTTTTATCATAAAAAGGCTGATGCATCGAAATAGCACTGCTTTCTTTTGCAGAAGCTAGAAAGTACATTTAAATACTCAGTTAGGTCCTTGTATATATTATTTGTACCACCATATCACCATGAAAAATGTTGCCTGAACATAACACTGATAATCTGCTCTGTACGCCTTGACAATTCATAATGAAAGTTTTTCTTAAAGCTGTTTCAGGAATTTTTAACCTTTAATTATGGAAAATGCCATACATTTAAAAGCAAAATAGCATTCATGCACCAGTATACGAGGATAAGTAAAAAAGTGCTGCTACTAGGATTCCAGTTCACACATACACAAGTTTATTGTAAACAAAACTTGTTCAAACATGCCAGTGGATGACTATAAATTCTCTCAATATTACACTTGTCCTAATCTCATTATGTTGTCTTCAAACAAAGGATACTAAGAAAGATGTACAAAGACCATCTAGCTCCAAAAGCTGATCTTCCCATCAATCTTTTAAGCAAAATGAAAATGAATGCAGATGATTTTATGACATGAATCACAACTGGGATGAGTCTTAGATTTACCAACACAGGCCAGAGAGCAAGATCAAATAAAAAAAATTGGCTTCAGAGGGGAGCTGAACTGTTGGGCCAGTTAAATTCCAGGCAGACAGGTTAGAGTGTTGGAGTCATTCTCAAAGGGTTATTTGGACAGAGTTTATCAAAGGGCACAGGATGACCGGACGGCTGATTAAAAAGTTTTAAGAAAAATGAAAACAGTATGGTGAGAAAAAGGCAGGAAAATTGTACCAAGGATTTTTTTCCCATCACAACAATGTACCTCTTCATTCTTTGAGAGTAGGATTTCACTGGGAAACCTTACCCCAGCCACCTTACAGCCCTGGTCTTGCCCCTTCAGACTTCTTGTTCCCAAAACTCAAATATCATTTAAAAAGAATATGGTTTGAGTCTCTAAGCATTGCCCAAAGTACTGCTTTGATGAGATATAAATCAAAGAGTGCTGAATATTTTCAAGGAAATAAGAGCTATGGACTCCTGGGATGGTGCTGTAGTATCAGCACTGCACTGCAAACCACTGGTTCAAACCCACCAATTGCTTCTCAGAAACCCTAGACAGGGTTGCTATGAGTAGGGACTAAGTCGACAGCACTAAACAACAAGAGATGTGGAAACACAGCCTTCAGAAGTATACAGACCTTGATGGAGGACACAGTGAGACACAACAGCTCCAATTTTGATACTTTTGCTTGATAAAGGTTTCTACGATTTTGTATCAATACTTTTGCCTACTTTTTCAAATCTGAAATTCATTTTATGATTAACAAACCTGAGATTAGCTATGAAAGCTCTGAAACAAATTCCATTTTTTTTAAAGTCTGTTGTATAACCATTTCCACCACTCTTTATATTTTACTTTCTCCAGATTTCCCCTCCTATTTTACTTTTCCTATCATTTGTACAAGGAGCTCTGGTATTCTAGTGGTTATGAGTCGGTCTACTAAT